AAACGTCAAGTTTTCCTGTTATTTTTTAACAATGCAGAAGCTAAGTAAGGACGAAAAAGTACCAACTTGAAGAAATACAAATTTCCCCCCCTGTTAACTAAATTTGCATTACTGTTACATGTAAATTAATTACGGGTGGTATTCACCAACGGCAAAATACCGAAACCTTGACATACGGAAGAAGACTAAACGATAAACCATCGGACTATTTCGCTTTTCGCCGTATTGATAATATTTCGTCCATTTTGAAGTCGCCTACAGAAATACATTAAAACTCGGCAATCGAACTCCAGGTATCACATGTTATCATAATTTCTGTTTCATGTCGCCGCTTTCCAGGCAACATAAGCTTTCCTCTTCAGGTAAAACGCATTTGTCGGGATTCTAGCTTCGTTACACTTATGTCCTTTAGTGCTAAGCTTTCTTTGCCAGCCAGATTTTCCTCTCACCGTTTCGGATCCCACGGTAAAACTCTAAATTATTTTTGCAACCGTTTACGTACTGCAAAGCGATACGTCACGTGATTAGTGTCCAATCATGACAGGTCGAATCATGACCGTCGAATCATGTCTTAAAATCCGGGTGTATACATTGCAATGAGATCAGCTGTAACTTGAGGTCATACCACAGGCCAAACTTGAGCTTGGTCAAAAAAGTTTTATAGGTGTACTAATTTCTCCTTCTATGATGCCATAATAAAAGTTACCTGTTGCTGAAACAATTCCTTGTTGATCCATGCTGAAGGGCTGATCTATCAAATGATTTGTGTTCAAGTTCATGTCAATTACAGTATCTTTATTGTTGACTGTGTTCGATTGGCTCAGTGAGACAAGATTGTATTTTTTTTGACACATGAGATCTTGAAACTGATTTGTGGTCACATCAACTATTGTCTGTATTGTCGGCTGTGATTGTTAAATTGACTTGACACACTGTTGTAATTGTTAAACATGGATTTGGTTGGAAAACAGAAGTATATGTACTACTGTCTGTAGAAGAACAGTCAGATGTGAGTAAAATCTTTCATTTGCATTTGTAGAGAAAATCCTTTAGCAGCAATTTCAATTAGGGAATTCACAAGTACTATCTCAGAAGCATTAGGATTCATCTTTTGAAAGGGAAGACGTTTGTTAACTCTGACAATGTTCCTTTTGAGTTTTTCAATAGCCTAGGGGTCTAAGTTTCTCAATTTCAAAGGACAGGGGTTATAAAAAGTAGACAACACGCCCCTCCTCTTATGACCTGGTGTGTATGTATGATGCCTTGGCTTGATAATCTTTAAGGCCCTGATTGACCGCTAATGTTTCACTGTTCGTCTACCTGGAAGTTTGGGTTTTCGAACTGAGTTAACAAGCATACGTGCTTTACATTTGACACAATATTTTTTGTAGGAGGAACAACAAAAAGCCATGGCCTAACGTAAACAACGTCGTTATCAACAGTTTTTGATACTTCATGATCAAGATCATGTTCAACATTTCCTCAATGGCATACGTAGAGAGAGGTTTTTTCAGTAATTTTGCTGCAATCCTTAAGGTGATCTAGGGTATCGGTCAGTGGAACAACTCTGAGTACTGACACTGGAGTTGGGCCTGGTGAAGCCTTTGCCTGGGTCAAGATCATAAACTTTATCTCTATTTTCAGACATAACATTAAGGTATTTGACTCTGTGGGCCAGGAAACAAATGAATTTATCGTATCTTTCGGTCGGTTTGTAAAGTTATAAAATCATTTCACCTTAAACTTAACTTTCGTAAAGGTCTTTCTTGTTACCGCCTTGGTTTATTCTTCTACATTTTTACCAGAATTTTACCTGGTTTACTTTTAACCTGCACATTTTAAAGGCCCCGTTCTTTCCTAGGGTGTGAATTTGACAACTTCAAAATTTACTTGCTCCATCTTGAACTTTTTTCGACAACCATTTGTTTTTACCGCCAGGCGCCACGAAGGCCGAAGGGCCCTTAGGCCTCGCTTCCATGCAACGTCCGGTTTTTTTTCCTGCAACGGCGTATTCAAAGATATGTTTCAGAAAAATAACCAAGCTTTTGACCGGGCAAAACAAACCACCCTTAACGATATATGCCCAACAAAGCCGACAAAACTAGTCTGCATGCGAAGTAGGACGTAAAACATATGGGTCACATATGATGTCATAAAAGTACTTCTGCCTTCGAAATCCATCGCAAAAGGAAGTTATTAACAAAATTATAAACGTTGTATACGCTTAGTGAGGAATAATATTTTAATGAAAAAATAAACTTATGGTAAAAATAACAATAATATAGCCTGCGAATGCAGCCGTTCTCTCCTTGTTCCTCGCCGCTAGAGACGTTTTGCCAGGAGGAACGTCTACACCTCGGCAACTGAAATTTCATACTGATGACGTAAATAAATTTTTAAATTTGAGTGATGGTATAATCGTCGCAGTGGTAATTGCAATTTAAGGAATTGCAAATTAACCCGAAAAAAATTTCGAGACTTCAACGTGATTCCAACCCATGGCCTCTACGTTAGCGCTGCAGTGCTCTACCAATTGAGCTATGAAGACCCATACACTGAGAGCAGGCCAATTTGCCGAGCTCGTCTAAAAACGTGAAAGGAAGAAAACATGAAGATTATGTGAAATGCGGAAATACAAATTTAAATGAAGATATGATCGTCGAAGTGGTAATTGTTCGCATAACAAATCAAGTAATCATGGGGTTCCAAATGTAAATTTGTTCGACTTTATGTTTCTCCTGGTCGATTATGGTAATGTTTTGTGTTTTACTGCGAACGAGCTCCAGCAAAACTCAGATTCTTTTTCCAAAAGAAAAACATTTTTCCAGGAATATTGACTGTTTTGTAATAGATTCATCACGTCTTATCATTTACATTTGGACTTTGAGGAGTTTTTTTCTTTTGTCTGTCATTTGTAAACAATAGATAAAACAATATAAATACTGTGTCGACCAATCAGAGCTCCTGACCAGATACCGGACAGATGTTACGTCATCAGTATGGAATTTCTGTTGATGCTCAACAAATTCTTGGAGTCGTCGAAGGCCTTCAGTCTGACAATCAGCCTCAGCAAAACCGAGGCACTGTACCAGCCTGTTCCAAACACCACATGGCGTGTCAAACAGCTAGAGACACACACCAAGGCGTGTCAAACAGCTAGAGACCTTTCACATGCGTGCCCTTCGTTCCATACTTGGCATGTGCTGGCAAGACCGCATCACAAACCTCGAGGTCCTGGACCGTGCTGAGTGTACCAGCATTGAAACCTTACTCATCAAGGCCCAGCTGCGATGGGTGGGACAAATCATCAGAATGGACGATCCTCTCATGCCCCGTCAACTGCTGTATGGAGAACTTGTGCGCGTTACAAGGACACTGAAAAAACTTGAGGCTTCAGACAGCGACAGAAGTCAATGATGCTCACCGACCCTCACTGCTCCCACCAGTTTCGAGGACGACCGCGTCACAGACTCATGGCAGCAGCCTATGAACGAAGCCAAAGAACAATCGCTGCTGATATCACAACAACGGAGTTCCAGTGTCCCACCTGCTCCAGACTCTGCGCTTCCAGATTGGGTTTGCAGAGCCACCAGAGAATCCGTGGATGATCACACAACACGCAGTCCACAACACGCAGTCTTCTTCGGACACGATGGACAACCACCAAACAAGCACCTTTAAGCGAGGAGTTCTTTCGAAAGTTGCGCCACATTTTATCGTCACGCACTTCTTTCGCTAGCAAAAGAAAACAAGCATTGTGACTTCTCTAGAACTATAATGTAACGCAACAAAATGACATGTGTCCAAGAACATGTGTCGGAAATAATGGTCTATATTGTTCTATATTTTATTTTATTAGCTCCTTTAGGCACTTTATATAGAGTGGTTGTATGCAAGCTACTAGTTTAACCAAGTCCTCTTGTTTGTGTTAGATTCAACAGTCTTTCCACAGTTGTCGATGTTCTCCTGCCAAGAGGCGCTGATCCCTCCCTGAGCGGGAAAAATGGGAACACCCCACTTCACTTAGCAGCGCGTGGAGGACATGAGGAGATCGTTAAAGTTCTTTTGGATCAACCTTCCGTTGAGGTTGACGCTAAAGATAATTCAGGAAAAACTGCTCTGCATTTTGCCTGCAGCGAAGGCCACAGAAAGGTTTGTCAAATCTTGTTGAACTTCAGAGCGGACATAACAGCGATTTCAGCGGACAAGACAACTCCGCTTAATAGTGCCATTTTGAATGGACATTCAGAGGTTGCGAGGGTGATTTTGAAGCGAGGTTAGAGGTTATTGATTTAACAGTAATTGCAGTAACTCCTTCAGAGTGTAAACAGTCCGAGCCTTATTTATCTATTATTTATTGAACGATCCCCTCTGGGTCATTAAATTTAGGTCTTCTTAAGGAGTTAGTCATATAAATCTGGAAGCGTCTCAAGTCCTCCGTGAAATTCTGGTGACGACAGATAAACACCGACGGTTAATTTGCTGGAAGGCACACATTTCATTTAAACGCTCAATTATGCACTACTAACAACTATGTACAAATTGCCTGATCGTATCCACCTGCTTAAGTGGCGGTATGAGAATCGGTTAGTGCTTTATCCGCCGCGCGTACACTGTATAGCCACGACGTTTTTCGGCTGCATACTGCGGGATCTCAGTTTGACTCGTCCCCATTTCTCTCCCTGCTTTATACCCCCAAAAAACGCAGCAATGGCACTCATAGAAAGAAGCAGTCGCGCACATAAATCTCGCCACCTTCCTAGGCTAGTATAAATATAGTGAGATTGTGCAGAGGACAGCGCCTGGGGACTAGACTCCTAAAGGTCGTCTTTGGTCGTAATAATGGGGTGATTGTATGGCGAAGGTGCAATATGTAAGTGAATTCTCCCCTTAACTTGCTGTCATTGTTGTTGTACTTTACAGCTGCCGACAGAGATGTAGATACTAACGAGAAAGAACTTTTGGGAATTCGTGACTTACAGGACAACACAGTCTTACACATGGCCACATGGAATAATGATGTCAAGGCTGCTGCTTTATGCCTTGAGAAAGGTGCTGATGTCGACTGTCTTAAGGTTGGCTCGGTCACCGCCCTTCACATGGCGGCAACGAAGGGAAATCTTGAGGTAGCGGACTTGCTTATTTCAAGAGGTGCTGATGTGAACAAGAAAGACGGGGACTACAAAACACCTCTCCACAGGTTAATTTAATTTGCATTGAATAAGACTAAGCAATGCTGATTACTTTAAGTGTTGAATGGACGTTCCATAGAATTTTGCCCACAGTCTAGAAAATTCTAAACTAAAACATATTGGTAACGTTGTTGGTGACCTAAATGTTTGTCATGTAGTTGCATGTGGAACAAAACATACAAACGCAAATTTCCCTTCTAGGTCTCAAGAAAATGATTAATTAATCAGTGAAGAACATTCTTGTTTCCAGATGCATGTCGGTTCGCTCATCAATGTTCCTAGTTTTGCAGGACCTTAAAAGTATCCCCATGTTGTCTTCTTAATTACCAGTCTGGAAGCGAAAAAGAAGAAAAGCAGCGTTTCTTAAATTTTAAGCTACAATCACTTAACTAACCCGTTGATTATCGTTCCCATGTAGGGCCGCTATGTTTAACCAGTTAAACGTAATTGAATTTCTTGTGAAAAAGGAGGCAAAAATTCATGCTCGTGACAGCGAAGGACGTTCTCCGTTCCTGAATGCTGTTGCTGCTGGGCACGTGGACTGCGCCCGAGTTCTTCTCAAACTTGGAGCTGATTTGAGCGCAGCGGACTTGCATATGAAAAACTGTCTTCACATTGCGGTAGAGAACGAGCTCTTAGAGATGCTATCAATGCTTTTGGAAAGTCGTGCGGGGGTACGCTGTTTAAACAGAAGAGATTTGAAGGATAGAGTTCCTCTGCACTACGCGGCAAAGACAAGAGACATCAAGGTAAATTTGTAACGGAACTGTTAGAAAGCAATTCAACAGCACTTGTTTTATCAAGGGCAGAAAACTTGACATGACGGCACCTTTACATAGAAGTGACTATAATACAGTCGAGCCTCTATAAAGGGGAATTCTATAAGCGACCACCATCTCTTTCCTCTCCATTTACCTTAGTCCGGGCGGAGAAAAGTTTCAGTAAATAACTGTAAACAGTATCCCTATAAAGCAGCCTCCTGTTATTTCTTCAAGTACTTTGTTAAAGGCAGAACGCGATATTCGTTCAAAAGAATTATTTTCCCGGCTCACTGGTTAGTCAATCGCAAGTCACAGCTATCTCCCAAATAAGTAAGTAAGTAAAGCCTTTATTTAAAGAGGGTAGCACTTAATAGCCAAAGGCTAATAAACTTGTGGCCCTCATAAAATACACAACTATTTACAATCTAATAAATATAGTAAGCTAAAATATATAAACAATCAAAATAAAACAGGATTCGTTTTTTATAAAAATAAAAAATTATTAAATGATATAATGATGCAAACATTGTTGTTCCTTAACAATCTTGGCAAACATGTTCTTTTTAAAACATGCTACAGAATCTAGTTTCCTAATTTCAATTGGTGTACTATTCCACAGTCTTGTTGCCGAAACAACGAAAGAGCGTCCTCCTTCTGTTTCTCTTCTATATTTAGGACAAACAGCATTAATGCTTGAATATCTAGTGTTGCGGGAGTGCCGCTTATTATTCAAAATTAAGTGTTCATTAAGATAATTCGGCAAATACCCATTAATTCGCTTATACATTATTATGCATTTATCTATCTTATGTTGCTCATAAAAGGGAATCCAACCTAGTTTGTTAAACAAAGCAACTGATGGTGTCATGCGATCGGCATAAGAAATAACGCGTGCCGCACGTCTTTGCAATCTTAAGACCCTATAAACCGACTCTTTATCACAATTTGCCCAAACAACGTTAGCGTAAGACATAACAGGGCGAATAATGCTATTATAAAACTGAAGTCGCTGTTTAAGAGGTAGACAGGCTCGAATCTTACGCAGTACTGCGATTCTAGAGGCCAACTTTTTACATACTTTCTCAATATGTTCATCAAATGACAATTTGCTGTCAATTTCTACGCCTAATAAGGTAGCACAATCCACATTACTGAGCTGTTTCCCGTTTACGAAAACATCTATGTCACTTCCATTTATGTTAGCCACACATCTTTTCCCAGTGATCGTGACTACTTTAGTCTTGTCTTCATTTAATGGGAGCTTATTCGCTGAAGCCCATAATTGAATTTCAGAGACAGACTTATTTAGTGATGAACTTAAGGTGGCTAAGTTTTTCACATCCGCAAAAGCAGTGACAGTCGTATCCTCTGCGTAAAGGTCCAACTGAGCACTTGTATACAAGGGCAGATCGTTGATAAACAAAATGAAGAAAAAAGGACCTAAAATACTGCCCTGAGGAACTCCATGCAACACCAAAGCTTCGCTTGACTCACCCCCATTTACACGGACCACTTGCTTCCTATCCAACAAATAAGAGTGACACCAGGCAAGCTCCCGGTTGGCTATACCGTACAGTTCCAACTTGCGCAACAATAGCTTATGGTCCACCATGTCGAAAGCCTTTCGATAATCAACCAGGACCATGCCGCATACATGATTATTATCTAGGCCGAACAAAAGCTCGTCAACTAACTTGATTAGAGCAGTCTCGGTACTGTACATCCTACGAAACCCAGACTGTCTAGAATACAGCAAGTTATATGAACACCTTCTCGACATCACGGTAGGTCGTCTGACTCTCACATGTTTGCAACTGGTGGTGACTGACGGGAATGCCATGTAAGTGATAGGGAGCCTACATCAGTTATTTTCTAAGACGGACATTCTTAGGAATGAATAACGGCATGGACCATCTTTACAGCTTCAAGGTGTCCATTGAGGAAGAGTTACTGTCAAACTTACTCCCTTTCAAGTGGCCTCCCTTGAAGAAGGAACAAGTGTCCACTCTATTAGGTGTTAAGTGGTGTACTGACAAGTTTGTTCGCCGATACTCTAGGAACTTACCGATAGATGACAGCTTGACCCTTTAAGCCCCAGTATCAGCATGCGTAATCTCTGCACTTCTCTTTATACATTCTTATGGTCCTGCTCGAGAAAATTTGTTCAAACATCAAGGTATTTTGTCTGTAGTGATTATTTCGTTCATTCTCGTGACCTGTAGCGTGCTGTTGTTGGGAGAAATTGGAAGCTGGTCACTATTGAAGCTTAAAGAATTAATGAGGGGCCGCTTAATAGACATTCGGCTGTAGTGTAGGAGATCAATAAATGACACTGACTCTGGCATACGGTTTCATGTTTGTAGATTTTAGAGCTCGTCTTATCCAAGCAGAAGCACTTGGGCTTCAGCGATGAGAGTCAGAAGACACCGCTTCACCATGCAGCAGAAAAGGCCTCATCGAAACACGTTGAAGTTCTGGCAAAGCACATGTCTGAGATAAATGCGCGAGATGAACTTGGCCGAACACCATTGCACAGCGCTGCAATGAAAGGGCAGAGGCAAGAGATATATTCTAGAATATTCTTTTATTTCTTCACAGTTATCGCTGTTTTTCCATTATGGGTGAAAGCGATCTTTGCTACTTGTTTGGATACAGAGTCGACCGTAGATCAAAGATGTTCTCACAAGCAAGCAATTATAGTGACGTAAAACGTCAAAACTCGAACGTTACATTTTTTACGACTATTAAATCGTCCTTTGTTTTGGAAGAATAAATGTGTCTGAATTAATAAAAAAGGTACCTACAGAAATTTCAAGTGCGTTTTAACAATTTGACCGTTGAGCTGAATAAAAAGCAGTTGAAAGTCGCTAGTTAGGGCTTAAAACGGATAAATTAATCGCTGGAAACACACGAAAAGTTGCTCTTGGCAAAAGCAACCGATTTGTAACAGACCTACAATCCATCTTTCCTGACCCCACAATCGGGTGTCTAGACAAAATTATTTCAACTAAACACTCACAAAGCGTTTTTATGCTTGTACACAATGTTCTTATAACACGAGCGCCACGACATACCTGAAATCTGTCTGTCAACAACTTCAGGAAATTACACAATTAACCACGTTCGCGGCACTGCCAAAACTATCCACAACCAACCAGGGACAATGTTTCCACACTTAATACTGGCGAAATATCATCAAACTACTCTCTCTCGATAACTCTCGCTTTCTCCACATGAATCATTATATTTAAAAGGTGTTTCGATAAAGTTTTTCAGAGGCCATACCGATATTTTTCAATCGCCTTAAAAGTGTTTTTTTCCGTGTCTGATCGCTATAAAATTTTCACCAGTAATTGGCTATGGATTGAAATTTGTGAAAATGTAGTTTTGATTAAAATCGCTATTACTATGACAACAAGAAACAAAAGAACTTTTAAACTGATAAAAGCCGAATTTTGTGTGATCTAGACCAGCTACTGAAAATCCAACACTAGGAACTTAAAGTTTGGTGTTTAGCAAACAATCTTCGTAAGACGTAAAAAAATTCAACTGAAACGAAAATATTTTTCCAATCTTAAATTTTAAATAGCCGTGATAGATTATTTAATAAAAACGTTATTAATGACTCAAATTATTTTTATGTAGCGTCAGAATGCTGCTTAATATCATATTTCGATGCTAGGATATTTTGGTGTATTTTCGTTCATGCGATCTTGAAAACTAACCCATTTTCTCACCACCTGTATAAGTGCAACTTCATTCAGAATTTGGACTTTTAGCGCTTTCTTGTATATCTCTGAAACGACTCGAACGAATTTTTTTAAAATCTCCTCACGTAATCTTCATAATGTATATAAAAATGTCTGAAACTTTCATGAAGATTGATTCATTGCAACACCATGAAATTTCAAGACAAACGTATCCTACGAACCGGTCAAAAATCTGCGTTACAACATTCACTGTTTTGACGTTAAGCTATTTTTTCCAAAAGAATGCATACTATACATATCTCCATGACTAGTACATTTTAGTTTGAATTTATCGCACCTTTTGATTGTAAAACATTGACAATACTCACACTGAAATTTACTAGTCATGGATATATGTATTGTCCGCATTAATTTAGAAAAATTAGCATAACGTCAAAACAGTGACTGCTGTAGCGCGGATTTTTGACCGGTTCGTACGATAGTTTTGTCTTGAAATTTCAAGGTGTTGCAGTGAATAAATCTTAATGAAAGTTTCAGACATTATTATATACATTATGGAGATTATGTGAAGAGATTTAAAAAAAATTTGTTCGAGTCGTTTCAGAGATATATTTTGAAAGAAGTTGCACTTAGACAGGTGGTGAGAAAACGGGTTAGTTTTTAAGATCGCAAGAACGAAAATACGCCAAAATTTCCTAGCATCAAAATATGATATTAAGCAGCATTTTGACGCTACTTAAGAATAATTTGAGTCATTTATAACGTTTTTTAAAAATAATCTATCACGGCTATTTAAAATTTAAGGTTTGAAATTTATTTTCGTTTTAGTCGAATTCAAACATACAGAATTTTTTACTTCTTGCGGAGGTTATTTGCTAAACACCCAACTTTAAGTTCCTAGTGTTGGATTTTCAGCAGCAGGTCTAGATCGCGCAAAATTAGGCGTTTAGCTATTTCAAAGTTTCTTGTTTATTGTTGTCATAGTAATAACGATTTTAGTAAAACCTACATTTTGACATATTTCAATCTATAGTCAGTCATTGGTGAAAATTTTATAGCGATCAGACAAGGATAAAATCACTTTTAAAGCGATTGAAAAATATCGGTATGGCCTCTGAAAAACTATATCGAAACACTGCTGACACAGTCGATTTATTCAAGATCCCGGAAGTAGAACAGCCGTTTTGAAAGGGACATATAGAGGCCGGCCTTCAAAACAAGTTTTAACTAAGTCTCTGGCCTGGTCAGAAATCAGCTTCAATTTTAGTCGCGCCGAATAGATTTGACTCCAACAATCTACTTTTTGAGGCCAGAGACTCGTCACCGCCAAATCAACGCTCGCAATATGCTGCCTTTCCGTCTCAAGCCCGAGATCAGTGTTTCACCCGTTTAGCCAAAATGAGACGAAATATGGTAACGTGTTGGACGACGGCAGACTTTGCCAATCGTGAGAGTTGTTTCTTCATAAGGCTTAATGATGCTTTCCGGAAAACTTTGTTGCAGGGGGCCAAAAAGAAATCTAGAAAATTAACCGACGACGGAAAACACTTTCTACCGCGGGCGCTGATTGCAAATGTCATAGCGTTTTATGACAAGTAGAGAATTATGGGAAATGGTAGGTAGGGGAGAGGTGGGGGAGGGGTAGGGAAGATGTAAAAGGCATATTTGACTCATGTTTTTTCATCTACTGCAGCTTGTAAGGGGATTTTTGTAGTGAAAATATCATTTAAAAAAAAAATGTCAAGTACTGAAGAAGCCTCAAATGAGAATGTTACTAAAAAGTCCTGAAGGTACCTCTTTACAAATCCAGACAGAAATAAAATCGACTGCGATTACCGAATAGGCAAGTGTTATGTTTTGACTGCCCCGTGAAATACCACGTAACATTGCTTTTATTCCATCAATCCTAAAGCGCTTGAAAAGATGGCGGGTATCGTGCATAAGGTCTATTCCGTAAGTCGATTTCAGTTCCATCCGTTACTTAATTCTATTTACCATTTGCATATCCCTCATTATACACCTTGCTTAGCCCCCCCCCCCCCCGCCCAAAAAATGCATGAACGTATTGCGATCGTCCCAATTCAAGACAATGCTTATTCAATATGCATTTTTTAAGCCGTGGCGGGGGGGGGGGGCAAGGTGTGTTATGGGAGATTGCAAATGGCGAATAAGAGAATCCAATGCATTTTTAACAGTGTATGTAAGTATCGCATATTGTTTTACCAAGCTACCTGCATTGCTTCCCTTTGCAATAGGAAATCCTGTCAGGTGCTTCTTAGCATGGGAGCTGAGGTCGATAGCAGGGATAACAAGTTTCGAACACCTCTGATGTGGGCTTCTCATGGAAACCACACAAAATGTGCGGTGATTCTTCTTGACTCCAAAGCTTCTGTTGACCTACAGGATGACGGTAGTGATACTGCTTTGCATGTAGCGTGCGGTCAGGGTCATCCAGCTATTGTGAAGTTACTGTTGGACCATGGTGCATCCTCAGCATTGAGGAATAAACAAGGTCTTACTTGTTTAGAAGTTGCCGCGAAAGCAGGATCGTGTGATGCCGCCATGGCGATTGCCAAACACGAAAGGTTAGCAGAGTACAATACAATACAATACAATGCCCTTTATTTAACGTGGTCAATTTTCTTAGCTAATCAGCTACTTTACAGACATGCCACAAAAAATAAATAAATAAACTAGAAATAATAATAGAAAGAGACGATTTCTCATGAAAACCTATATAAAAAATATATATACAGTTAAAAATTATTAAAACTAAGAGTAGATCACGACATTATTACATAATGACGTTAAAACTAAGCCAAATGTATTTAAATGTATTTGGGCGATTAAAATTTAAAATTTGAAAAATCCAACTTAGACATTAAGTTCTTAAATTTTCCGATTTTATTAGCGGCACGAAACTGATCCGGAAGAGCGTTCCAAATCTTAGCTGCAGTATAACGCCACGATTTAAGTCCATAGGTGGTTGTATTTACTTTGGGTAGCTCGAGGATGTGTTTTCCTCTAAGATTATAAATGCAGTAGCTCTCCTATCCCTCCGGGGACTTTATACCCATGGATAGCTTTGTAAACACCGGTGGCCATTTTAACAATTCTTTGATTAAGTGGGGACAGCAAGTTTAGTTTTTTTAGCAACGTCTCGTACGTAGCTCGTTCATTGATTTTTTCAAGTTTGGCGCAACCTCTTTTACCACAGTGATGCCACGACTCTGAGCAGTAATTGAAATGCGGTGCAATGAAAGCACGATATATATCTATCCGCAATTCAAAAGGTAATATTTTCTTCAAACGATTAAGAACAGCAACCTGTTGACTAACTGTACGGCAGATTTTACGAATCTGTCCCTCAAACTTAAGCTTGTTATCGACAGTGACGCCGAGGAGTTCCATTTCGTATTGAATAGGGATAACGGTTCCTTCACATGTCAACACTGGACTTCTCTCGACCCTTTCAAAAGTAATTGCTTGATATTTTGAATGCTTTCTTTTCATTTGATTGAATTCAAAACACTCATCACCCTTTTTCAGATCGGCATTTATGGCATGTTCAACCTGGTCGATATTTTCCGCAGACTTAAACAATTGAGTGTCGTCGGCATACGTGAATAATGTACATTCGTCTATAGCATAAGACAGGTCATTCATGAAAATATTAAAGAGAATGGGACCCAAAATTGATCCCTGGGGGACACCCTTCATTATGGTTTTCATAGAAGAGTGTTGTCCACTCAATCTGACACGTTGCTGTTTGGCACTTAAATAATTCGTAACGAGATTGATAACTTTTGTCATAAGTATCCACCGTTATCTTCAAGCTTTTTGACAATAAGGTTATGGGGAAGGGTGTCAAATGCTTTTGAGAGATCCATAGACATCAGACTAATAAGTTTGTGATTATCTAATTCTTTCTTGAATTGTTCAGTTACACTAAGGATAGCTGTGTCGCACCCATGATAATCTCTATATGCAAAGACATTGTTATGATAGATATCTTCAAAGTGTGAAGCAAGTCTTGAGTGAACGAGTTTTTCAAAAACTTTGGATAAGACCTGCAGGATTGTTATAGGGCGATAGTTTGTCTTTGTTAACGTACAGTCTTTCTTGTGGACCGGGACAATTTCACCTAGTTTCCAACTCGAAGGCACTTTTCCCCTTTAAAATAGAAAATTCTCTAAAAAGCTGAAAGGCTGACACAATTTCAGCGGATTCTTTGACAGCTCGAGCTGGAATTTAATCATGTCCAGTAGCATTGTTTGTCTTAAGATTCTTTATAATTCTCTTCACTTCCCCTGGGCTTGTATTTGTTAAGGTGAAGGGCGGGATTGATGAGCTTTTATTGTCTGGTATGACTTTGGAGGCAATTGATTGAAGTCAGGGTGCTGAAAACTTGAAAACATTCTGCCAGAACTTCGGCGACTTTCTTTTGTTCTCTAATGAAACCACCATTGTCTTTCAAAACAATACGCTCATTGTGGAAAGACTGTTTTTTCCTGGATGAAATATACGGTCTTATTGTGTTCCAAAACTTCTTTTGATCTGAATATTTATCATCGCAGATTCTGGAAAAGTGATCTCTTACTCTTTTCCTCCTCATACTAACAAGTCTGTTTCTTAGTTGGCGGTATTTTTCCCAGTCTTCAGGCTTTCTGGACTTGTTGAACTGCCTTTACAGCGATTACGTTCTCTCATCACTTCCCGTAATTCAGGGTTTATAAATTGAAATTGATCGCGATGTTGTCGGCGAAACGATTTAACTGGAGCATGGTCATTCAGATCTTCAACGAACAATTTTCCCAAGCCCAATATACATCTTCAGGTTCATCAAAGACGTAAGCCGTCGAAAAAGGAACCAAACTAAGGTCGTTACAAAAAGAGCCTTCATCAAAATTCTTGAAAGAGCGCACTCGGATAATTTCGGGTTCAGGTTGCGGTATTTTCTTATTTAGAATCGTTAAAGTATAAACTAGGCAATGATCACTGAGGCCAACCTCCAAAGTTCCTGTTTCTCTGAAATGACCTGGAACATTCATCAGGATAACATCTAAGCATGAAGAACGCTGAGGAGATATTCTTGTGGGTGAATTATTTAAAGAATCCAGATCATAAATGTCACAAATGTCCAGCAGACATCTTAATGTCAGAAATAATTAGCTTAAGCCAAGTCAATAACAATAAAGTTACTACAAATTGCAAATATATTATCTCACCTTTAATTTTGTAATACCTGCCTGAAACCCCCCCACCCCAAACAAACAAAGAAATAGGTTTGAAGCCCCGGAAAGATCCTTTCCACAAAGTTGGTGGAAAGGATACTCGTAACTTAACAGTTGGTAATCCAAAGGAGTTTTCGAAAGAACAATATAATGATTAGAAATACACGACAAGAGTCAAACAAGTTAAGGATCGCTATTTTCATTTTCGATTCCTGAAATGAAAGCGCCGAGTTTGTTATTAGCTGGTTTTGTCTCTCTCGAGATGAAAAGAAGCGAGCTTCATTCTCTGTGCTAGTATTCAGATAGAAAATCATGTTTGCCAGGTCAGGACTGTTGGAGAGGCCACGTTATGTAATACTCCTAATTAAATAATTAACAATTATTCTTTGAAATCGAAGTGAATAGTGGCAAAATATTTACCGAGCCGCGAAAGCGGCGAGGTAAATATTCCCAAAGCCACTATTCACCGAGATTGAAAAGAATAATTGTTTCAGTATATACACACGAAGTGATCTCAACAAAATCAGAAAGGAAACCATTCAAAAGTACGATTTGATCGACAGATCAAATCACGCGTAAGTTTAAAAATAGATCTTTGCAGAATTTTCAAACATGGCAATTCACAAGTTTATCATTTCGCAAACAACAGCGTAATGGCTTCAATGGAACCGCTAAAAGTTTGAACTGTTTCCTTACCTGAGAAGAAAAGTAGAGCTGTGTTGTTTCTGTTGACTCGCCAAGTTTATAGCCAAAAGGGTTTGTTGTGTCGTTCTTCGCATGAAGTGCTGACAAAAATGGCGGCTCGGTTGCTCGAGGTAAGAGGTCGTCTTCCTGTATCATTCTTTTTCCTGTTTACTTGAAATGTAGAATTTCTGCAAACATTTCCTTTTAAATTTGTTTGTCATAAATAAACTTCGATTTTTGAGCCAAAATTTTCTTCTTAGAAAACGCTGAGTTCACGAAACGGCTTCTTCTACGCGAATACACGGGAGTTGTAAACAATCCATCGAGCACAAAACTCCTGCTACAGTAAATTGAAAAACGCCGTATTGAATCCTTCCAAGTCTTTTCTTGCCTTAAAAAAAGTCAGCCCTAGGATTTTGTCGACTTTTAAAAGATCGTTCTCTAAAAAAATGGAAAAACACCGAGCTCACACATTATCCACTCGCTAGGAGGTGAATATTGTTGAATAGTCCGAGATAGCGAACCAATCAGATTGCTTAAATCACCAAGATCACTGAGAGTGTATTTAACAATTATTACACGAGGGCGCGTTGGATATGAGATGATAGATAGCCAACGAGGCGCATAGCGCCGAGTTGGCTATAATCATTTCATATCCAACAAGCCCGAGTGGAATAATTGTTTTATTAAAAACGCCCACAAAATCTCGTTGAATCGCCCCGACTAGAACAAACCGGAAAAGACAAGGGACTTCCGCTATTGACATGTCACACGTCTATCAAAACTGTCAACGCGCGAACGGACTCGCCTGGACTGCATGAATGAAAAATCAAAACATTGTGCGATGAACATTAGTTTTTTAAAAACTCATCGTGATTCTAGGATTTTACACAGCATAACAGCTTAAAAAACCTGGCAGATAATGTGAAGGAAAGGAACTTTTAAGTGACAGCCGTCGAAATTACTATGAATTTGGATTTTCGATGCAGTTATAAAAGTAAGAACAACGGAGAAAAACGACCGGTATTACCTCAGTCGCTTGTTATGAAGTTGTTTGAAGCCACAAGCTGGTTTTGCTGAACGAGAAAAGAAGCTATACTGCCGCCTCGATTGCTCTAGTGAATGGCTGCATAGCCTGTATTTGTAGCTGGTTACTTGTGATTTATATTCTTGATGTCGGATAAACAAGCTGCAGTTATCTATCGGCGAGTGACTCGATCGGCGAATGGCTTCGCGATCATGAAGAAACAACACTTGTCTTCTTTCGTAGCTGGTCAAGGTACCTTAGTTCCATGTGTTTTCATGTGTTTTTCGACAAATTTTCAAACAAGCTCTTGTGGCTTTTTTTGTTTGTTTTTGTCTTTTTTCTTTCGTTGAAATTGCATTTCTAGTATTCTAAGAAATGAATTAAAACGATTTGCTTCGGGCGCCGTTCTATCCTTCGCGAAAAAAAATCTCAGCTAGCTTCCAATTTTAAACTGACGCGTACACCGACCATATATGGAGAACATGGTATATTAGCTCATATACCATAACGGCTAAGCCAATCAAAATGCTAGAATTGCATTATCCAATGATTCAGTTTTTAATAAATACTAATTTATAATGGTGCTTATGAATACATCGTAATATATACATTGTGTTGGGGGAGGGAAGGGGAGGAAACGTCGAATGTCAAGTCAATTTGTTTGCTTTTACCTGCAATTTTAAAGGTGGAAGGAACTTAAGCAATATCAAATATCAAACGGTCAAACTGCAATCTCACTCCTGGTTGAAAACTTCCCAGAAGCAGCTGAAGTTGTTCTTGATCAATGCGTACGTTCCTCGGACCATCTCAACCCAGCCGACCCAGACTACACTGTAACTTATGACTTCAAGCACCTAGATCCTGGTCCAGATGCTGACATGTCGAGTGGAAGGTTTTCCACTGTTCAGATGATGATAAAGCACAAGCGTGAACGACTTCTTCTTCATCCTCTTACGCTGAAATTTAATGAACGAAAGTGGCAGAGTTTAGGAAGATACGTCTTCTTATTCGACTTTGTTACTTATCTCTTGCTTATGGTGCTCTTTACTGTATTTATAGTCGACGATAGGTCAGACCAGACCTTCAGTGAACCACTAAAGCAAAAACCGTCAGATTATTACTACGACGAAGACGACCCCTTTAGAGGAACTATGTCATTTTTGATCTTGACTTTCTCCTTGCTCCACATATGCAAAGAACTGTTGCAAATTTACGTTCAGCGTTGGAACTACTTCAAGGACCTGTCTAATTACCTGAACTGGGCACTGTATATCTCTTCAGCCTTGTTTATGGTCCCCTACGTCGCAAAGCCAGAAGACGTCGACAAGTTTTTTGCCAGTACGAAGGCTCCCTTAGTACTTTGGAATACTGGAGTTGTTGCAATCTTCGTGTGCTACACCAACATGATGCTGTTTCTCAGAAGATATCGCTTGTTTGGCACTTACATCTCAATGTATATTGAAGTGACGAAGACTGTATTCCAAGTTATGTTCGTGTTTGTTTTTCTGGTTCTGGGATTTGCATTGGCTTTTTTCGTCCTCTTTAAAGAACAGGTAAGTTAGTTCTCAGGTATTGTTGGCTAGTCAGTTAATCTTGCGAGGAAAAACCAGAATTCTGTAATTACTGAGTTAATTTAACTATAAAAAAAGATAAGAAAGAAACCTTAGGTTTTGGGATCCAGACAAAATGCCCCTTTTCCTTTATAGAGATTTTCCTTCAATAGAGGTTGATACAACAGCGGATACAAAGATTACATGAACATTTTTCCGGGACCAAATTTTGTTCTCCCTTGATGGAGGTGTCCCAACGGAGAGGTTCCACTGTATCAAACATATCCAGGAAGACTATTAGAAGATGACGTCAATTCAGTTCAACTACGTACTAGTATCCTATGTTTTGAGGGATCCGAACCCCCAAAGGTTCTTTCGTTAAAAAAATAAATAATTAAAAACAGTAGTAAATATTATAATCACTGCTGATCGAAGAGCGTTGTGACAATTACCAAAACGTTTCTCCTTGTAACTGATGCTGGGCCAGTTTAGGGTTTTGGTTTTTAGCAAATCATCACATCTGCTCTATTTAGCCCTCTCCTGAACATTTCTAGTTTCAATTAACACAACGGTCTTGAACACGCTTGACCTCCAATTTTTGTTTTGCTTTGACAGTCGCTAACTTAATGCAGGGAGAAGCCAAAGATCGCGTTTTGTTGGCTGGCAAAGACGTATCGAAACCGGTCCCTTGATTTTACCGATTATTCCAAGCAACCTATAGCGATTTTTGGCTCGTCCCTGCTTCAAGGTACTGACACAGAAAGCAGTAGAAGTCTTTTTTTAAGCGAACGCTGTTCATTGCACTAAATTGCCAAGAGTCGACTAATGGTGTAACTCCACTGTTAGTATGCAACTATATGTAAACCTCATGAAACCCAATTCGGGCGAGCGCTCGAAACGTTCGCTTGTGAGTCAAATTAAATGGTGGCCGATTTTCTTTATCTACTCACTTGGTAAAACCGCATTTTATCTCATCATTATCATTCAGCCTGCATTCCATTCAGTGCATCATTCCCTGCTCCGCGTGCTTGTGATGATGATTGGTGAACTGGACTTTGTAACAACCTTCATAGACACCATAGGAGAGAAGTGTAAAGGGAACAAGAATCTGTTAAATCCATTCCCTTTGACTGGACAGTTCTTCCTCTTTTTGTGCTTGTTTTTCCTTACTACCGCTCTGATGAACCTTTTGGTAAGGAACTGGTTTGATATGTATTTTTAACAGCTGAAAGAGTAGCCTGAGAAAACGGCCGACATTTCGCGACAGTTTCCCCGCGAAATGACATCTGAGAAACGAGTACAGAAATTCCATACTGATGACGTGTCACTACCCTGACCTGGGTAGTGCTCTTAATTAGTTGAAGGAAATTTCCCTCGCTGCACGACCAATCGGAAGTTCTGACAAGATCTGGGAAGTAAAACGTCATCAGTATGACATTTCTGTGCTCCTTCCTCAGACATCATTTCGCAGGGAAACCATCGGTGGCGTCCAAAAGTTCGGCTGTTTCCTGAGGCTGTTGAAAGAGCCTGTTGTAGTTTTCTGCGCATATGTAGGACTTTGAGTTTTAATTCGAAAGAACAGTTTTCAAATATAAATTTGGTAATGAAAAAACACTTTTCCAACTGGTATCGATTTCCTTAGAACTGTGTAGGCTAATGTTAAATTTGTCGAAACAATCACGCGTCATCTGTAAAGGTTCTGCACAGGACATTTTTTATCTTTTCTTAGTCCAAATCTAAATGTGGTTTAGTCGACAACATCCACGAGGGACATCACGCCAACTCTAAAACACTTGGGATTGGAGATATAAATTTTAAACGAATGATATGATCATTGCAGTAGTAATTGAAATTTAAGTAATTGCAAATAAACCCGAAAAAAAAATTTGAGACTTCAACGGGATTCGAACCCAAGGCCTCTGCGTTACCGCTGCGTGCTGTACCATTTGAGCTATGAAGACCCATCCCTGGGAGCAGGCCAAATTGTTGAGTTCATCTCAACCCCTGAAAGGAATAAAACAATGATGATGTGGATTGCGGAGACCGAGGCACAAATTTTAAATAGAGATATGATCGTCGCAGCGGTAATTGCCATTACCACTTGTTGATTACAAGTTAGTCATTGGCCTTGAAAGAGCCCGCACATGACGTTGTTAGTTAAAGCCGTATATGCGCATTTTAATGATGGTCGAAAGTAGCTTCGCGACTACTTTGGGTTTTGGTACACGCGCTCGGTTGGTCACGTCTAACTGACAGTAAGTTCATCGTATTCTTGCCGTGACTGCCATTAAAAAAACATTTTTAATCAAGAAAAAAAAAGATATAACCGTATTTACTGGAACGTTCTAGCTACAGCGATCAGTTACCTTAAAGGTTCTTTGATGTAGCTATTTTTCGAAGATGGCGATGCGGGGTTTAGCAAGTGAAGTTCGCTGCGTTGAACAGTTTTTAATTTCATGTAATGGGCGGATGACATAAGTGGTCCAATAATAAAAAAAGTATTTGGCGAAGCACTTCGTAACAAATTAAGCCAACCAGAAACGGACAAGTCAGACGATATACTAAGTTTACTTTTAAAAATGTTTATTTTATTGTAATAAATTTTACCGTACAATTTTCTTGCAGGTTGGTCTGGCCGTGGGAGACACCAAAACAATGAAGAAATATGCCACGATCAAGAGACTTGTGATGCAACTGGAATACCAGTTTAAAATAGAGGAGGCGTATCCCAAAAACATTATCCGAAAGGTTTACGAAAGCATTCATGTAGAGAAGCCCAACAAGCTGTCTAGAGTCAACAGGTATACCTCATTTTGACCAAATGGCGGTAATAAAGCGTATGTGTGTGTGTGTTCTCATAGTTCGTTTGTTCGTGGGCACTCATATAACTGTCACCGAATATTTTCAGTCAGGTTTTCTTTTCATTAACGTTTATTCTAAATATTGCTTGTCGCAAAATCGCTTTGAATATTTTAATTCATATTTTTGCCTAGATAGTGCAAGACCACGAAATTGTCTTGGTTGCCAGGAGTCGCTGGAATAGAAAGGCAATCACCGCCTAATATTTGCAACAGCTATTGCTACACTGTTGATCAGTTTTGATCAGTTTTCTTCATAGGGTTACCGGAAATTGGAATTCCCATATCGGTGGTAAAATTCGATTGAAAGGAAAATACATTTCAACTTGTTTTACTCCTCAGAATAGAAGAGTGGCTCCATGCAAGGTTTGCGGAAGCAGCTCCAGAACCGGTCGAAGAGGGTCAAACATCTGAATTTGCTGAACTAAAAGAAGAGATTTTAAAAATCAAGAAGAGGATCAAATCTATGATGGCCATGTTGGAGGCCCTAAAACAAGCTGCTCAAGAACCTGGCAGTTGCCGTCGACCCAAAATTTAAGTTTCCGCAAGATGTTGATGAATGAGTGGTGTACCGCGGGTACCGCTAAGTGAAGCCAGCAAAGAAAGCGAAATGCTAACGTAACATTTATTAAGCGTCTAGTTTACAAGAGGGTAAAAGCTCATGGATGCTGCTTTTTAAAGTGTGTTGTGTTCAGTTCTTTGATAAAAAAAAAAGGACGTGCATGTCTATAGCTGACGTTTCATTCAGCATTCATAGCAGTGCTTCTGCAACGATTAAACGTCTGATGCATTTTTTGTAAAGTAGGGTAACCAATCGTAAGGTGAAGCTAATTATAAGTGGTTTTCTCTGCACCTGCACCATTGCTTTGGCAAACAGCGTCGTTAACCAATCACATCTTTTTGTTAGGATTCATGAACCAACAAACAGGAATACACACGTTTCAAAATTTCCTGATTTTTCTTAGTCGCTTGGCGCCTCGGAATTTTATAGAGACCCAGCAGTTTGATTTTGTGTAGTTGTCACAGCTCACGAAGACCGTAACATAACCCTATCGAAACTAGAGTGGAATACGGAGAAATATTCTGATTGTTATTGTAAAACAATTCAGCTCTTCAACGCTGGGCTCTTTGAATCTCCAGAATTAGATTCAGGGGCTTTGCTTGTTGACGCCCTTGGGGATGACGTAGTTGACCCCTATGGGGCGATTGTTTAAACAAAACCTTTCCGTAGGACTTTTTCATAGCTCTGATTAATTTGTATTACTTTACAAAATAAAATCGGTTGAGCTTTACAAAGGTTATCGAAATGTGCGTTGCAAAGGTATGAAAAAAGCACAACGCACATTTGGATAAACTTTGTAAATCGACGGTAAAACTCAATCGATCATTTGCGTTGCACAGTATCTGGCAATTTTTTTAAATAACATCGGGCCTTTTTCTTGATTCGATTTTTGCATTGAGTTAATTTGATCCTTTTGATCCTGGACTTGACCAGGTTTATCCATGCTGGTACATAAAAGGCTTCTGCTTGAAGAAGTAACATCAAATAAACATGAAGTAAAAAAAAATACATAGTGTTCTTTAATTATGTGGTTGATTATTTAAGATGTACAAAACTAGATTACATCGCTTTAATTGTTCCCCAAAAATACAAACTCTCAATGTATTACCATGCAAAGTTAGCATCTTAAACAACACAAAGCTTATTGTACAGATGCATAATCTTGCTCTCCTTAAAAGCTGTAAAGTAGTAACTCTGCGTTACTTTGCAAAGACTAAGCTGTTAATGCAAATTCTATCTTTTTGCTAAATGTGCACGTGCATATGAAACTTGGAAACAATGCCAGTGAATAATAACGACGCTCAGTTGCAAACACAAAGTCTGGGGAGAAAATTAGTTATATTTGAGGCCCTATTTAAAAGCCTTTTCTGTTTTCAATGTTCTTGAAACTTGCAGGGTATATTTATAGACAATTGATCTCGGGATTGTCAAATTTATTAAAAATTTAGCGAGCGGTTTTTTGAAGAATGCGAGATTTGTAGGCTTGGACCACATTACGTGTAAAAACTGTAACAAAAGCAGCTGAATGCAAGTTACTAAAATACTTCTTACTCGCGATCGCCCGAAGCAATTCTCCTCTTTTTTTGTACGCAGTTTTCAATGGAATCAAACCACTATGAGATGAAGCCGCGTTTCGAAAGCTTATCATTTTCTTAAAAATTTAGGTAATTGTGTGGATAGCATGCTATTTCACTGTTTTTATGATGCTTAAAACTTCGTTTTAAAATATCTCAAAAACGCTCTCACAGAATTTGTTCAAACTTTGCAATAATTGAGGCAATTATGGCAGGTACAAACTCCCTTAAGTGATTTCTTAAAAAACTCTTGGTACAGAGAAACACAAAGATAAATAAAAAACGTAATGGCGTCGTTACATTTCCATGGCGACTCCGACTGCAATAAAATCCAGATCATAAGAAATTTTCCTCTTTATATAATACAGTTGTGGTAATCTTTTTTCCATATCTTTACTCATGGCGACGTAGTTAATGCTCAAACTTGGGAGGTATCCCCCCAAAATTCCAGTTGAGCCACCTTAAATGAATACGTTAGCAGCGAAAAGTTGTATCTTTACTAATTAGTTTTACAGTCACGTGTATGTTTTACATGCATGCATAGGGTCATAGCTTCTTTTTGTTTTACCGTTTTCTTTATTTAGTTGTAGTATTGTATTACCTCTTTTTTTTTGTCAATATTATCTCATTAGCTACTCAAATTACTGTTATTATATATTTCAAAATTTTAAGCTTACGGTTACTTCTGAAGATGTATGTTTAGACATACGAGACGTTAAGTCAGTGAGTGAAATTCTATTTTTTAACTAGTAATAGTTGACACTACAGCTGCCCCCTCTCTGTATATTGTCGGTCAATAGTATTCTTGCTCGTTGTGTAGCTCTTTGAAATATACCGATTCATAATGAAGATTTTCACACACATTCCATACAATAGGTGAGATAAATAGAGGAAACGCAAGATTTCATGCATCGTTTCGGTTCGATTTACACAGCTTTGATTTCTCTTTCACTTTTTACATTCAGTTCATTTTATTTGCCGGAAATTAAGCCTTAGAGGTTAAAAGGATGTTTGATCAATTCATGCTCGCGCATTCTAGTCTTAGTTCAAACTTAAGAGCGGAAGGACATCTGTTAGCAGGGAATAAGTCAGCACAGAATTTGATTGTCGGCGAATTTCTGTAATCGTCCATCGTTCTGCTAGTGATAAGCTAGCAGTTGTTTACTCGTCTTGCTTGTTTGGGGCTGAGTCTTATTCCGGTCAAAGAGAGGGAAAGAGTGTCTGGCAAGGTTTCCAATCAAAGATTTGTGAACTCGTGTCTGGCAAACTCTCCAAGTGTTTATATATGCACACTTATACGCACGTTATAACTTCATCTGCGCTTAACGAGTGTCTTTTGGTCCATAACTTTCTAAACAACTGCTCTACAGAATGTCACTGATAACACATGACGCAAAAGAGGATCGAAGTATGCCTTCACAATAAATGTCAAAAACTCTACCTTAGAGGTCCCTTCGGGATTTTAAGTCTTTACGTCATCCTAACCAATTCGTACCTGCGGGTGCAAACAATAGAAACGTCATGATCATTACCTACCGATTCCTCTCGGCCCCTGTTCAAGCAAATCGAGATTTTTTCTAGCGTACTGACTGTATATTTCAACTGTAAGTACTTTCCTTAATATACGCGCGAGTTGCTAGAGTGCCTCCTCGGGATTTCGCCTTCTGGGCGAAATCCCTGTGCAGGCAATTTAGCTATGCGCTTGTTTAGCTTCATGTTTGTCCCCACACTTTGAGTTTTATGAGTACCTTCGCTCTTAATAACCGGTATACTGAGGGAAATATACCATTTAAAAATGGTTTCCCTCTGCAGTATTTACGTATACAACTTTAGCCACTGAAGTAACTCTTGGCGAGCGATCAATATTCAAGAGTTACAGTGCATTGTTACTCTTGGACATCATGGCTAGATTTTGTAGTATATCTAACGCTCGCTCACAGACTATATATTGACGTGAAAACAGGTTAGATATTACGGTTCTATGAAGCAACCAATAAGAGTAACACCATTTCTTCAAAACTGTATGTACTACGTAGAAGGCTTAATGTCAAGCTTACCTGTTCGTAAGTGACGTCACCTAGTATTATAAAAACTGTGATACGTTTCTATTATATTACTTCATTAGTTCGTTTAGCCAATGGAGGTGCTTCGTATGGCTGTGTTGAAGTATATTACAGCGGAGCCTGGGGTACAGTGTGCGATGATCTCTGGGATATCAACAACGTTTCTCTAGAGCAACGTCTGCTCCACACGGTACAAGATATGGTCGAGGTACTGGCAATATTTGGTTGGATGATGTCGAATGTAGCGGAGGAAAAGCTTCACTGTTCAACTGTGCGCATGCAGGATGAAGCCCAGGAGATATTGGCTATGGCCATCACGGGGATGCAGGTGTCGCTTGTGCGTAAGAAGCAAGAAATGCTGTCACATAAAAACAAGTTACTTTTTTATACCTTATGTTTACGCAAGTCTAGACCACTTTTTTTATTTTTGCTACCAGACATTCCAATAGCATGTAGAAAGATATACCCGTCAATTAAAGGAAGCAACTATAAATACATGGAAACAAGTTGAGAGTTTTCATTTATGGGTCTTATAGAGCGGCAGCAGCCTGCATCCTTTAATTGCCTGGGAAACTGTTTTCAAATGGTTTAAATTTCCAAATTTTTGGCATAAAAGGGAAAGTGATGTTGAGAGAAAAAGCTCTAAACAAGAACAAAGGAAATCTTCATCTTGACTCCCTCGCCCCTTCAAACAACGGAAAGTGGCAATGATGAAGAAGCATTGTATTACATGCATTATGCTTAATCCGCCGCTTGAGACCGGCGCAAGATGGCGGGTGGAGAGTTAAACGCGTGGCGAGTTTAACAGTACAGAATTTAAGAGGCATCTTAAACAACCCTAATCTGTTACTTAGTTCTATTTATTTAATTATTTAATTTAAATAGTTTTTTTATTAGTACCGTATAACCTCCACCCACTTATGTAACTGCTCTGTGGTAGTGCTACACACTCTTCCTTTTTTATGTTTAATTCAATGTATAGTTAGCTCTGTTTATTCCTTCTTCCTTTTTTTTCCTTATTGTTGTATTGTAATTGAATAAGTGTGAATAAATGAACTTGAACTTGAACTTGAACTTGAACTTGCGAGTAGAATAATTTTTTACATAGTTGATATTGTATTTGTCTGGTACCCGCTCAAAAACGTCTGGATAGTCTAAAAGAGCAGACCAGTAGCAGACTCCCGCTTCTTGTCACAATGTAGAAAGAAATAGCCTTAGAAGACGCTATCAATGAAGAAGTGATTTCATTTTATGAGCGTTAAATTTCAACATATTTCATTAAGTATATTGCCAGCCTTTCAGCACACTAACCTCCCTGTCCCCACACTTGCGATCAGGC